GTTTGTTCTTTCCAGCATTTGGTTAGTTTAGTCACTCTGAGAAGGGAAAAGCAGAGAGAAATTACTTTCTTGGTTCTCTTCAACATTTTCTCAGAAATTTCTCTCTCTTTGCACTCTCCAGAACCTTTGTTCCTCCGCCGTCGATTCTAGGCTTTCTGGGATAACTCTCGATTTCTCTCTTTCTTCTCTTTTTGGGATAACACATTTAAGTTTCTCGTGCTAAAGAAGCACAGAAATGCTTGCACACATAATCCTTCTACTAATTAAAAAACAAGAGGTGCCTCTGAAGAAATCATACCAATAAACGTGACCATGTCGTGATTGGAAAAAACAAGCAAGTCCGTATCATCATCTTCTTCGAGGAATCAGCCCATAGATAGACATCTGTACCATAGAAAGAAGTATTTAACCAAAATGAGTTTAGACTAAAACAAATTCTGACAAGTTATCCCACTCAGGGTTAACAGAACGATGTATTGCACCTTGAAAGTCTTCCCAGGAGAGCTCATCTGTAGTGCCAGGATAGTATCTTCCAAGATCAATAACAGTTGTCACACCTCTACTCAAAGCATATTTGCTAGCTCTAAGAAGTGCTTCCCTGCGTTCATCCACTGAGACTTCTTGAAGCAAGGGAGAGACAAGCTCCATAGCAGCATCAATCAAAAGACCGGTAGGCTCTGCAAGTAGTCATTCATAGAAGCAAATACCAGCTGATATTAGTATCCAATCACTACATAGAAAGCTTCTCTATATTCTTAAGTTTTCGAAGCAGGCTAAGTGCTGTATGAATATACATTTCTTGACATAAGCATTACCGCCACTAGACAATCTCATTATCGTTCCACCAATTGGATCTTCCGTTAAACTAGTAATGCCAGCAATCCTAAGCGTGAAGGAATTTGCCAAGGCCATATGACCATCCATCCTAATCAACCAAACCTACATGAAGAAGGGAAAAAAAAAAAACAACTTTAGGTGATGATGTTGACTATTGACAAACACAATATGTCGTTAGATTTCTTTACAGGATTATGAGGTGAGATTTCATCAATCCATGATGCAGAGGGCAATTCCCCTCCCCAGAAATCATTGTTCCATCCACCACCAAGAATCCATGACCCTTCTTTTGCATCTGGATTAAACACACAGAACAGCTTAGTGAATTATAATACTTTGTCGCTCGCTACTAAAAAAGCCACCAACTTAAACTATAATATGTTTAATGAACTATAAACAACAGGCACCACTAAAGTAATGTAAAGATAACAAGATTTTTCCAGTTATAGTTTTAAGATTCAACATTTACAACGAGGTCAATGAAATTACTCTGCACCGCGTCATTCACCATTTTACAAAACTCATCTTTTTGACTCACCCCTCGAAGTCCAACTTGGGCCATCTGTGCTCAAGCAAAAAAGACATTAAAAAAAAAGGAAAAGGTAAAGTGCAGTGAACTGTTTGTGTCTAAATCAAATAAAGAATGGCATATGATTCATCCAAATCGTCTACAGTATAAATAAGTTTGCGTTATCACCTGCATTCCACCAGAAATCAAGTGAACATGTGAATCAATAAGTCCAGGCACTACAACCTTCCCCTCCAGATTCACCTCTATGGTTCCATCTCCAATAAATTCCTGTCTTCATCGAATAATTAATTTCATGAGAATGACAATTATCAAACTTCCAGATTCATGCTAGTAGAGTAGTATAAAAGGAGCAGAAAAATATCATCAACCACTTGAACACAAAACGGGAAAAAAAGTTCCCTGAGGATTTTTCCACCTCCATAGAACTCGATTACGTGTAACAGAGAATCAAAGAAGAGTGAAAACAAAAATGAAGAACCTTGAGAGTGGAAAAGCTTCCGACTTTGAGAATCCTGCCATTACGAATCGCCATGGAATCGGCAAACGTCAAAGCACTATCGCTGGTGAATATTGTTCCATTTCTCACTAACAAATCCGCCACGATCTTAACCGGTGGTATAAGAGATGTCAGAGTTGACCAATCTGCGAACATCAATCGAGTCGACGAATAATCAGAATCAAGTCAAAATGTCTCAAAACTTATCTGACTAACGGCGAGAAAGGGATCTAATAATGGAAGCCGTAATTACATAAGTCGTTGAGCAGAGGAATATACGCGACGGAGATGAGGAGGAAGACGGCAGGGGAAAGGACCACGAAGCGGTTCATAGTCGCCGGAGAAATGCTAAACGGATACACAACTTGGGGAGGAAATGGAATGTGAGTTCCACTTAACAAAACATCTACGGAGACTGATAACAAACGACGACAGATTCGTTAGCCCTCATGTTTCCTAATTCTCGATGGTACACAAGATCTTCTGTCCAATGCTCTCCGATGTACGGCACTTTGCGATCTCCGGTAACAGACTCAACGAGCTCCAGCCAATTGCTGATCGGAGCCGCCGGTTCGGTCTCCTCGTTATTATTATTCTTTTATTTTTAAGTTTGTAATTGCTAGCTTAATCACACGTTTAAGTAAGCAGGAGAGTTAAACGACTATGGTGGTGTAACATGATGTGATAAGAAAGACATTTAGGTTTTAAAAATGAGTTTGTTTAGGATGTAACTTTCTTTGGTCTCGTTGCTTCTATATCTCTCAAAGCTGTCTTTACATGCAATAATTGTCAAGAATTGAATCAATATAGAGATAATTAAAACCGGTGTTAAAGGCAAGCTTTTTATTATTACAATTCGGTTTAGTTCCGTTCGGGAAATTAAACAACTAGTAGCCCAATTGGTTTAATCCCTCTCAAAGCTGACTGATTCAGTTTGTTTTGTTTACTTTTTTACTCTCCAATCTTCTGCCATGGAGACAGATTGAGTAAGGGAAAACAAAAAATATTGACATGCGAATCTTTAACTAATAACGGTGAGAGTGAGATAGGCGCGATTGATCTCAATTTTTACTTGTATAATCCTTTTCTTGTAGCGAGTAAATAATGGGGAGAGATACGCGTTGGACCTCTCAATTACTCACTCCACTCCTACAGATTTTAAGGTTTTCTAAACAGAGAAATACAAAAGCCGACTTTTACAATTTTCATTATAAATAGATCTAAGTTATTTGTAAGTGATTACGCAATATAGATTCCAATAAAGAGGAAACCTCGGGAATCAAAAGTTTCCTTTGCTTTGATTATTTTCTTACCATGGAGAGCTTAAGATTGAATATATGGAGGGAGATAAAGAAAATCAAAAAAAATCCTGAAATTACAACATTTTAAGTAATAACAACCGAGAGAGAGTGCATCAACATCTAGATGACACATTAGTCTCGCAAAACACATACATTCTGTCTCACAAAATCATAAACACATACAAGTCTCAGAAATACCTAAAAACAAGTCTCACAAATACCATAAAAACAAGTCTCACAAACCAAGGTAGTGGCTACAAACTTAAGCGGCAGGGAGTACGTGGATGCTGCAAGTTGGTGAGGCTCTGTTTGAAGTCGCCGCCAAACAGAAGCAGATGACGAAGAGAAGTTACGCCTGCATCTGTGGCCGCATAAATGACAAGTTGTTGGAGACTTGGCATCCGCTGCAGGAAATGGGAGATTTGAATAATGAATCTGCGCCTATGATCATCCATATCTCCCATTCCATAAACCTTGAGCACTCTGTTGGGTGATACGGATAGGCACGAGGGATTCACCACCACCACAGGACAGCACCGGCACGGATCACCACATCCATCCGTTTGCTCATGTAGGACTCTCTGAGACAAGAGGAGAATGGTCACAGTTCTATTTATGTAGCACAATCTTATGCGCTACAAGGTATATCTAATTTTTTTTAGTAATATTGTATTTTCTACATAAAAAATAAGATTGTGCTAATGTGTAACGTCAAACCATTAATGTTTAAAAAGAAACATGTAGTATCTCAAGTTTCCATTTAAATTTGAGTTACAAAATAAATTTCAAACAGTTTTGTACCAATTTTGGGCAATAATATTATTAATTTTATAAGGATTGAATTTTTTTATAGTAATACTGATTTTAGGCTCAGAGTCGCTAAACACGGCTCTGAACATATTTATTGAATATTTTAAAATCTTGACATTATAAGTAAGTTTAAAATCAAGCTCGGTTATGGACAGCTCAATTCCACTAAAGCCATGATCCAGAGCGTAATGAATCCACCTGTTTATGTTGTCTCTGGGCAAATCAAAGAATATCCTTAGACAAAATTTGTCTAGACCCGCGTTGCCTCGCAAATCCAGAACCCGATCAACAAACGCGATGAAATTCGCCTGGTCATCTACGTCATAAAACTCAAACTCAACGCTTCGGGCTAACTGATATAAGTGTTGCCACGCACTCTGAAGAATTTGAAGAACCGAAGTACTTACCGCTGTTCTGGTCGGTAAGAAGCCCAAGATGTTATCCCGCGTCTCCTCGGGTAAATTCGTTATTCTATCCAATTCTTCACCTGTAATACAAAAAGAAAAAGAAAAAACATCACTAAACAAAACAAAGATTGCTGATTGCTCTTCTTCTTGAAAAATCATCACTAACAGAAATGTAGCTAAATCACAGACCAAATGTAGAAAAGAACAAACTTTAGACAAATGCTATGAAGCTGAATATTTCTAATTTCATCTCATACTCGCTTGAAGCGTTCTTCTAACAAATATCATCACTAAACAAGACAAAACAAAACAAAGATTGCTCATTTTCTTGAATAATCATCACTAACAAAAAGGTACCTTAATCACAGACCAAATAAATAGAAAGGTACAGATCTTCAGAAATACAATCTAAAATAAACATAAGAATGTAAGACTTTATTTTCTAGTAATATTTTCGACATACATAAAAAAAAAAAAAAGCAAGACTTTTGGGTGAGTGAGTGTATTAATGGTCATAATAGTCCAGATTACAATTTTAAGAAAGTCGCGGATAGAAATAAAATTGTAGTTTAGGAAAGTGTCCACTTGGTAAATACAAAAGAGTTCGCCCATATATATCTTCCCATTTCCCTCTCAACGACGGTAAATTTTTCTTTTGGTACGTTTTGGTGGCAGCAATTGAAGCGGTGAAAGGTTCTAAGAAGGAGAACATAGTTCCGCTACGGCACACCATTTTCTCCGACCACCTCACTCCTGTTCTCGCTTACCGATGTCTTGTCAAGGAAGATGATCGAGAGTCTCCAAGCTTCCTTTTCGTGTTAGTTGAGCCAGGAAATCACGCTTCCACTGTTGTAATAGCTCTTTCTTCTTCATCTTGATCTTCTTCTTTTTATCACTCTTATTCCTTCCTATTTTACTGAATCTCTTAGCCTTTAGGGGAGATATAGTGTCGTTGGAGCGCATCCAACTATGGAAATTGTGGCTAACGGTTAGAAGAGCTGGTTTGGAGGATTAAAAGCATTAATCCGTGAGTTTACTGTTCCATCTTCTGCTTTGTATCTCCTTTTTTCGAACAGTTTAACTTGACTTCATCTTTGTGTTTCAGCCCGAACCTTCCTTCTGGCTCAGTGGACTTACACACAAGCCAATTTGGGACTCCTTTGGAAAAATCAACCATGACAAGTGATGCTTACAAGAATGCTGTACTTGAGGCCAAATAACACATTCTGGGCTGGAGATATCTTTCAGATCGTCTTAAGTCATCGGTTTGAGCGCCACACTTTTGCTCATCCATTTGAAGTTTATCGAGCTTTGAGGATTGTGAACCCAAGTCCCTCCATGTGTTACTTGCAAGTTAGTGCTTCTCCTCTCTCTCTCACCTATATATTCTTATATATCGGTTGTTCATATCTTAAACTGTTTACTTTATTTCCTCTGTTTTGATGATCTCTATATTCTTTACCCTGCCAGGCTAGAGGTTGTATTCTAGTAGCATCAAGTCCTGAAATTCTCACTCGAGTGAAGAAAGTAAGCATGTTACATCATCTCTTCTCCGGAACTTGTTGTAATATGATACTAAAACAGAAAACCTTTTGAATTTTGTAAAACAGAACAAAATCGTGAACAGGCCACTAGCAGGAACTTCAAGACGGGGAAAGAGCTACGAAGAGGATCAAATGTTGGAGAAGACACTGTTGAAAGACGAAAAACAGTGTGCAGTACACATCATGCTCGTTGACTTGGGTCGCAACGATGTTGGAAAGGTTAGACTCTCAGAGTCTCAGGGATCAAATCTGATTTTAGCAATGATGGCAAGAAATTGAGGATATGATGACTATAATTAACTTCTTGAAAGCAGGTATCCAAGAACGGATCAGTGAAGGTGGAAAGGCTCATGAACATAGAGCGTTATTCCCATGTCATGCATATCAGCTCAACGGTAACACAAAATTTCTTGAAACATTCCAATCATCAAACTCATTCCATATTGTGTTTTATTTTTTCGCTAAGTGTAAATGCAAACGCTCATAAACAGCGACTGGAGAGTTGCAAGGGAATCTGACTTGCTGGGACACTCTTCGTGCGGCTTTACCAGTTGAAACAGTTAGCGGAGCGCCAAAGGCAAACTAGTTATTATATAAAAAATGGACATGGACATGGAGTTAATCGATAAGCTAGAGGTGACCAGAAGAGGACCGTACAGTGGTGGATTCGGGAGTGTGTCCTTCACCAGAGACATGGACATAGCTTTGGCACTTAGGACCATTGTGTTCCCAACGCAAGCTCGTCACGACACAATGTACTCATACAAGGACAAAGACATGCCGCGCCGTGAGTGGATCGCTTACCTTCAAGCCGGTGCAGGTATTGTAGCAGACAGTGACCCAGAGGACGAGCACCATGAGTGCCAGAACAAAGCTGCGGGACTCACACGAGCCATTGACTTGGCTGAGTCTGCCTTTGTTAATAAAAAGGAATGATAGAACCTGTATCTAGGTTTCTTAACAACAACAAAAACTATCTAGGTTTCTTGCTCCACAAGCAACGTCATCTGAAATAAATTAATTGATAACTCATTTTGAGTAATGAATTCCCGGGTGAGTTATTAGCCACAGATATAATGTAACAAATTTGTTGCTAAGTTTCATATTAAAGAAATTTATTTTAAAATTTGGATTTCACGTCCATTAAGTATGTTGATATGTTAAAATCAAGCTTTTGGCTTCAGAAATTGAACTGGAAATAGTACTATTTCGGTACTCTTTTAAGTTGTCTATATTTTAATTAACCGTTAATAGTAAGATATTTTGTAGATAAATTATTATACTTGCATTAAAGTTTGAATCATCCGGGTATGAATGAATGAGTACAAAACTAGATATTAAATCTTTATGATATAGTCATGTAGAAAAATATATAATAAAATGAAATACGTGTTAAGCTCATAAGCAACTTCTAAATGTTTCCAAATTTGTTTGTCACCAAAAAGGTTGTTCTAAGATATTTGCCAAATGGCCAGATATTAACGCTAAAATGATGATTGTTACTAAATACTTATCCAAGTGGACGAATGAAATACGAACAGAATATAATGCAATATTAGTTAATAGAAAAGGAATTTATCCAAGAAACAAAAAAAAAAAAGATTTGGAGACGTAAAAGCCTTTGGAATGGACTAAAGGTTCTTCCTAGAACGTAAACTAAGGTCAAGCAGACACGAAGATGATGTGGACGGATCATTTGGCCACCCTTGCGCTCTTGTGGCTTACACTTGGCTCTACCTTTTTGTTATTTTTCGTCTCTCTCCGACTTTTCTTTTACCCTGAGACTGAGTTACAGTTATTTTAGTTATTTTTTTCTGGGCATTTCGTTTTCTTATCAAACATGAATCTGATGTCGACAAAGGAAAATCAAATATGAATCTGGTTAATTAAGATCTTTGCCAATTTACCCCCTCCTTTAGTTTAAAGCACCAGACGGGTTTGTCAATAATTAATTTGAGGAGGTTAACACAAAGGAGCGCATAAAAAATACTTCTCATAGATTAATTATAGAATTAACACGGTATATAGTCAAAAGTCTAAGATTATACATATGTAGTAGACAAAAATATATATTAAAAAATATTTGAAAATATCAGTAAACAGTTAGTTCAATATATGTCGCGAGAGTCAGTGACGGCTAATTAATCTACAAAAAGTGTAAAACCTTAGATCCGTTGTTTTATTAATTAGTATTAGTAAATTTTCGATAATATTGTATTGATTGATTTATCATTATATTAAAACGTATCCACAAAGGACAATATACACGCCTCTAGTGTGTGACATTATGTAAGAAGCTTCTTTCAAATTACTAGTCAGTCAGCAGTCAACTCCCGCAGCCCTCAAGTTTATGGTTCGATACTTGTAGTTGTACTCGTTTTAAATGGAATGCTAATTAAATTCTCTAGTACATATATATTCACATGTTTAGAACTTATATTTTACTAAACTTGAATATATCTCTATATTTAGAATATTATCAAATCAGCGGCATGTGTATACGATCAGTCTCACTCTCACATGGCTAAAATCGGGCGGTTCCTCTATCTCCGCTTTTGGAGCCTCTCTCGATTTTATAGGAAAAAGGTCTGGAAATAATAGTATTCTATTAGTACGATTTTTTTTATAATTAATACCATGGCCATCTTTTTATGTTCTCTTAAAACTGAATACCATTTGTGCTTTGAACATAGTTCCACTTCCATTTGTTAGATATGATCAATAGAGTAGAGTAAATGAAATTCAGAGAGTACTGTGCTTTACACAAGTTAGGTATTACCGGTATTCTACGGGTTTGTCAATCATTCATTTGAGGAGGTTTACACAAATACAAAGGGGAGCACAAAAAATACCTCTTATGGATAAATTATTAGAATTAACCCGGTATGTATAGTCCAAATCTAGACTAAAGTCGAGAAAAAATAATTAAAAGAAAATAATTGAAAAAGCAATAACAATTCAATATATGTCGAGTCAGTGACGGCTAATTAATTTACAAAAGTGTAAAACCTTAGATATAATCATTGATTAATTAATTACTGTTATTATAATTTCGATAGTATTATATCGATTGGTTTCTCATTTTATTGAAACGTAACCATAAAGGCCAATATACATGCCTCTCGTGAGTTCATATATAGGTAGAAAGCTTCTTTTCAACTCCTGCAGCCCTCAAATTATGGTTTGATACTTGTACTCGTTTTAAATGGGAATTATGGGATGCTAAATTCTTTAGTACATATTCACATGTTTGTTGACAAAAGGAAAAAATTTCACATGTTTAGAACTAGTATATTGCTAAACTCGAATATATTTATATTTTTTGAACAAGAGATATGATAAAATTAGTGGCATGTATACGATCAGTCTCACATGGCTAAAATCGTTCTGAGCCTCTTTCAATTTTATAGGAAAAATGTCTGGAAATAACAATATTTTATTAGTACGATTTTTTTCCAGTTAATACCATGCCCATCTTTTTATGTTTTCTTAAAAATGAATACCATCTGTGCTTTCAGAGTTCCTTTTTTATAGGATATGATCACAGTTCTCAGTTTGACTATATACATGCAAAGTACAGTAAAAGGAATTCAGAGGGTCTTGTGCTTTACGCAATTTAGGTATTACCGTTATTCTAGGGAGACTAAAACTGAACATGAATAGTTAGCTACTTAGAGCTTTCTATTTTTATTGGGAATATCTCAAAGAAGTTCTCGTCATAAAATATTAACAAATAGTAAAAAATTTGAAGCGAAAACTGACATAATATTTCATTTTAAAATTTTAAAATATTTTATAATTGGTTTAACTTTTCATTATTCAAAATTTAATCATATAATAAAACTATTTAAAATATTAGTATTATATTAGTTTAAGTATCTCACTGCTCTTAGTTCTCATATACGATGATAAAATTTTGATTGGCTGGTATATACGGCCACCATTTTACTCTAGTCGATTTACTAAAACAATAGCAAATACTTAAATATATAATTGAATCTGTATATCATTATTCGGTAACTATAGAACACAAGTGAGAGAAACACAAGAAGATAATCTTAAATATCATAGCACAATATGAACTAGTTTTCTCTCAAGATATTTAATAAATACTCCACACTAATTAAGCAGTTTTCCTTTTTATCGACGAAAAAGAAAAAAGAAAAACATCACTCTGTAAGTAAGGCAATGCTTTTATAGTACTATTTTAAAAAAGTTTATAGAACTGTTTTATAGTTTTTATACCTATGTTTCTGAAATAGATACGTTTATGTTCGCGCAATAAAACAGACGAAATCCCTAATAAATTATACGAGGATCACAATATCACGAGAGCCGTATAAAAGACTTAAAGTTACAATGTATACGTAATTAACAAAATCGATCGGATAAGCAGTGATGCGAACGTATAAATGTATAAACCTTAGAAAGTCTCGTCGACTAATTTGTATTACGCACCAAATCTAACAGATCATGTATTATATTCTAAAATAATTTTTCCTTGGAAAAGACGTCCAAAGGAAAAAACGTCATTATCGTTGTCAAATATTATTACTTCCGGATATTTATACAAAAACTACACATCAGCATTGTCGTCAGCATCGTCAAATTTGTTTTCTTCGACCCTTTTAAAACCCTGATAAAAAAAGTGTCTGAAAAAACATCTCTCCTCAAAACATATCACACATAAATCCTCTGTAAATAACCAAAACAAAAACCCTAAAGCGAAGAAGCAAATCAAGATGGGACTGATCAGCAAAGAAGAAATCAGCAAAACCAGAAGATATTCATCTTCTCTTTGGAGAGGAATCAAAACGATCTTCGTACTCTTCACTATGCTCCTCTCCTTCATCCTCTTCTCTGCTCCGATCTTCCTCGCCGTCGCCGACGCCGTTCTTCCCTCCGCCATCCTCTCATCTTCCTCATCCTCCCTCCACCGCCTCTCGCCTACTAATTTTCCGGCGACTGTTTCTTCACACATCAGCAACTACGATTTCCGATACTCTCTCATCGATATTCCTCTCATCTCCATCATTAGATCTGCCATTATTCTCTGTAAGTAAACCCATCAGCTATTTTCGGAAACTTCGCTTTGCTCTGTTAATTTAAAGATTGAAACTTTGAAGTGACTAAATTTCTGCTCTGTTCTTAAAGTTGGTGTTTTTGTGAAAAAATCTGATTTTTATGAATATCCACAGCTCTAGAACATACTCGATGTCTAGATTTCTGCCAAAATTTAGGAGATTGATTTCAATTGAAGAAAGCTAGAGAGTACTGTTTTGGTCTCATATGGATTTTTTTTTTAAATTTTAAAAAGCCATTAGTTTGAAATCTAAAAATAAGTTATTTTCTTGTCTCGAAATTTCCATCGGAAAGTCATGAAAGGATCGGTTTTTGAATCTGATAACAGGCGTTTACGGGCTGTGTGATGGACCAAAGTTATCGAGGGGACCATATCTGTTAATCACGATGATTTGCTCGATTTCATCTTTGATCTACGTATCGTTTAAGGCAGCGATTGTGTTGGGCGAGCCCGTGATCGGAGACGGCGACGGAGGAGGGAATTTCCGAGCAGAGGAAGTGGCCCTCTTTGTATGTTCGTGGGTCTTAGCCATCGGTCACATCGTTGTGGCGTACCGAACAAGTTGTAGAGAGAGAAGAAAGCTCCTCGTCTTCAAAATCGACATCGAATCCGTAAGTTTCCGATATTTTTATTTATTTTTCTTTAATTTTACTAATTAATTAACTTTTAGCCGTTACAGAAACATTATGGGAAACATTAATAGGATTAAAAATTATAAAGAGGCCGTATCAAACTTCTTAATTAAATCTAAGTACAGTACTATATGTTTTTTGTTTAGTTATCTAAGATGCTCTTCTACCACCACTAAATAAAAATTAGACTCGGTCAGAAATAGCATGTGACTTTAGATATTGTTTGTATTGAGTCAACGTTATGAATTAATATACACTTTTTTTTTTGCACTAAGGGTTCTTGTATGTAGTAGTAGTAGGTTGGAAAATGACTAGTCAATTTACAAGGTTTGATTTTTCACTCACCCCAAAACGAAAAACTGTATATCTGTTAACACCTTTTTTTATGTTTAAAACAATTGAATTCAAACCTAATTAGATAGTGACTACTAATAAGATTACTTGATAGGGCCCTTAAAAGAATAAAACACAATTTCCTATAGGAAGAGTGAAACGGATGTTTCCGAGTGGGAACCGTGTGGGATGAATAATGATGGGCTGCTTTACTAATCTTCTTTTATAAGAAAAAAAAAAGATATTAATAAAGTATTAGGACATGACAACGTCACTAACACTAATGAACTGTGACTAATAAATATAAATTACGGTTTTAATTTTGTGTTTGTCGTAATCCAATTGCAGGTTTCAGCTTGTAAAAATGTGTTCCCTCGATACCAGAAGATATTCCAACAAGAGAGACTCAAATAGCTATATTAGAAGACAGTCGACACTTGTACATATATATACTAACAATACAGCTATATGTATATAAATATACGTATCAAATGCAACATCATCTGGGTTTTGGTTTCTCCTTTCGAGTTTCAGGTAACAAAATCCACCTCATTGTTTTTTTTAAGATTATATTATTATTTCCATATTATACGGAACACCAACTTGCATATATTATTAAGCTTGCTATTAAATACTAAAGCTGCTTTAATCACTATCATTTTCGGAGTGTGTGAGTCATATATAGTGGAGGTAACCCAAATTGAGAATATTTGTGTTGATAATGTTGTTTATTGTGTTTTTTGGTTACAGAAAGGTCCAAAGGATAATCTGTAAAGGAGGGAAGAACAGATAACGAATGGGGCTTAATATAACACAATGCTTTTCCATGTGAGACTACAAAGGACAACTCCAATGAATTGGCAGTTGTTACGATATTATACATTTTAAATTTGGTAGACTAAAAAAAGAGAATTATTATAGGAGTTCTTATTTACTTTAATGAATGATCCACCGTTACACTTTTGTCTTTTTGTTTTGTTTGTATAAGACCATTTTTACTACAACGAGATAAGAAGCCGAAGGCATCTTTCTTTCTTCCAGTTATCTCTGTTTTTTTTATATGGTATTAAAAGAAAATAAACAAAAATCAGTATGTTCTATACGTTTTGCATATGTGCGTATGGACCTTTGTATAAGAAAATGTGATCCTAGTGGATTTTTGAATTTTTCTAACGAGTAAAATGCTTCATTTACTTATGCGAAAACCAAATTATAATCTTGTTGTAAGAAATGTGTTTAACCCGCATACTGTTTTTTTTTATGTTTAATTACTTTATGAGCTTAAAAACAAATATTTTATTTTGTTCAAATATACATGTACTTTACAAAATATGTTTATCCAAATTCAATTTTTTATTTGTACATAATATAGTTTCGAATTCTGTTGTAGTACTCTACGTCTGAAGACGAACTCATTTGCTAAGAAAACCAATCTGATATTTTATTCTTAAAAAGAAATTTACAACTTCTAGGTATACCAAACTAACATTATCATCTCTCATCAATATATGCTATGACAGACTAGATCAAGCTTATAAAATCCGAATTTGATGCGAGCAACATTAGACCTAACTAACAATTTTCACGTGCCTATAATTCACCCAATAATGAATAACTAAACTCTTACCAAACAAAAAGTTTTGAGATATAGTTGGTTGGAGGATTAATTTGATCCAAATCTCTGTCATCTATAGTCCACTAGAAATTAGAAATATAGGGTCAAGGGCCTTAAAACTGGAGCTACCAAATTTACATCGGGACATCAAGAACGTGCATGGTTTTATTTATTTATTTTGTGTGTGTTTGTGTTGACAATGACAAAAGAAAACCTTAAATAGACTTACTGACCATATCATGAAGACATGTAAACATGTAAAGAAAGAGCTTAGCATCCATAATGTTGAAAAAGAACTCATTATTATTTCTATTATACAGAAAAATGTAACAATACAAAAGACTCCACAAAAATATCCAATTTATAAACGTTAGGCTAACCGAAATATTTCCTATTACTTAAAAATCCAATATATAAAAAAATTTCATACGAACGCTGTCTCACTCTCCGGTTTCCCTCCTCATCTTTTTGTTTCATTTCTTGTTCCGTGAATTGTGCTGCGGACTTAGCGAAAGCTACTCTTTGTATTTGAGCAATTCCTCCGTTAGTAGATGGGCAGAATTTAATTAAATCAATCATTAGCATAACGTTTATTTTCCTTTATATGTTTAGTTAAAGTAATATTCATAGGTTTCTCGTTAAAAAAAATTATGTCGTGTAAGCTAATCTCAGTACTAAATTCTGGTTGAGGAAAAAATGTGATTTAGGATCGCTTAAGATAACTATGTGAAAAATGAAAAAATGAAAAAGAAGATATGTTTCGGTCGCCTAGGTAATTCCGTTTTTCCATCCACGTTTCTTGGTAAATACACAACCTCCAAATCCAGTTTAGACCAATTTATTAAGTCTACAATTTTTATACGCTACCGAAGTCTACTCTAACAATTTGCTCCTCGATTTCCTCGCTCCCCCATTATAAATCAAAAGAGTCGATTTTGGGGATTATTCAATACAAGGAAGAGAGATTTTACTCGTTTGAAGAACAGACCAAGATGGGGAAGGTTTTTATGGTGGAGCTGGTAGGGCAAATCTACAGTTGCAAACACTGTCGCACCCATCTTTCTACACACCAAGACATCATGTCCAAGGTTTTGATCGTTTCAGTCTCCATGATGTTTCTTCATTTTTTTTGTTTCCGCTGATACTCAAATGATTTTTTGCATCTAGTGTTATATTAAATTTGGTGTTCTTGTCATCAATCTGATTTATTCTTTACCATTCTCAACACATTGTTAAATGTCAAATTTTGTTTTTGAGTTTACAGAGTATTGCATCTTATAACTTGTCTGAGCTGAGATCATCATGTGTTAAAAGTAAACCCAAACTTTTGCATATTTTGATTCTCTTTCTGATCCAAACATAAATTCTTTGCATCTTGAGTTCATAGCTTTCACATTAAACTTTCACAAAAACACTGCATTATTCTAACTCTAAAAAGGTTTTTGATGTCTATTAGTTTATCAAGAAGTTATACTTTATAGTACTGACTTTGTGTTTTGTGCAGTCTTTTCAATGCAAGTATGGACAAGCTTATCTCTTCAGTAAAGTGTAAGTTTTCTGATTTCTTATATGGAATTAACTCTATGCTATTAGTCTCTTCTCTATACTTCGAATTACGTTTTTTATTTGTTGGTGGTGATCTTTTTTTCTAGTGTAAACATTTCAATTGGAAAGAAAGAAGACAAAATGATGTTGACTGGACTTTATACCATAACTGACATTTTCTGTGTTGGTTGTGGATCAAACGTTGGCTGGAAATACGTAAGACAAAGCTCATAATTAATTTGGACATAATAATTGTAACCCATATGTTCGATTCATTTCTGGACTAGTTAAACTTGGTTTTGTGTTTTGTGCTTCCAGGAGACTGCCCATGATCAGAGCCAGAAGTACAAGGAAGGAAAATCTGTTCTTGAATTGTGAGAGCCTTTTCTTGGTTTTTTTTTCTAATCAAGCAATCACATTTCCAAGTTCAAACATAATCACACAAATTTCACAACTTTTTATTCAATAATGTATTTGACCTTTGATCCCAAATGTTGATATTATTGTTATTTTTGTTTGTTTGCAACAGGTATAAGATTTTGGGTCCTCATGACAGCAACGACTTGGTTTGTCAACAAATTTCACAACTTTTGATTTAATAATCAACATGATGCTACGTTTTTTCATTCTCTTTCTGAGATTTCTTTTAGTATGTACATTATTCGATCTTGGTTTATTATTGATTTTTTTGGTTAATCAAATAATTATATTTGGTATCTATAATGTTGGCTGGTTTGATAGGTTTGTATAGATTTAGGTGAATCACTTTGTATGTCCAAGAGTTTTATATATTTTGTCCAATGGAAAACCAACATTCTTTGATATGCATTAGTCTGTAAACTGGCTAATGCTCATAGAATTCTGGAATGCTCTCAAAACCTAAAATCTACAAAACAACAACAGTAACCAATTAGTAAATCTGATCAAAAATGAAAATATTATATGGTAACTGAAACTCAAACTAAACTGTATTGAAAATACATTGTTGAAATCTTACTTTTTGGTTGAAATATTTCATACTAAAAGATATTTTTTGCAAGACGACTAAATCCAGACAAAAATCTAAGGTTAAAAAAGTGTAGCGATTGATTACACAAAATTTGTGCACAATCCAAATTTTTTTCATGTTACTAACCTTTCAAATCCTACAAAAATAAATTTTAGTCTTAAAGTTGTGCTAATCCCAAAATGTAAACTGTGAAGACTTTTTTAATACAGAACATATCACAAACGCTATTAAGTTTTGATAGTAAATCACATCAACATAAAAATAAAAATGATCTATCTTTTAAATTCAGTCTTAGGAAAATGTCATAAATTTTCTTTGGGAACCCACTATGCTACCAAGGAAATGAAGAAATCATCCTGAAAAGAAAAGAAAAATGTTTCACATACTCCTTAAAACCAAAAAACAAAATAACAAAGGCTAGTAAATTTGCAAATATATTAGGCTAATAGTGCCTAATCTCGTTTAGTTGTTTCAAAACAATAACAAAATCCAATATAAGAAAATCTGAGCAGAAATGGAAATACTAAATGGTAACCGAAACCCAAACCAAACTGAATTGAAAATACACTAACCCCATTAAAACCTCAATTTTGGTTGAAAATGTTTCATAACTACCAAAAAAAAAAAAAACATATTTTGCAAGAAGACTAAATCGAGCCTGAAATCCAAACTTTATCAAATAAAACGGACTGAGTTTTGATTTCTGTACTTTTAAATTTAAAGAGTGGAACGAACACACACAAAATTTCAAAGCAGGGTTGATCTTTGTATGAGAAGAGGACCGAAATGAGATCAATATTTGTAGATGAAGTTACTTTTGTGATTTTGGAACGATGAAATATGTATATATTGGTTCTCTCTTAAACTTGAAGAAGGTATTACAAAGATACTTCTCCACTATCCAAAATAATAATTTTTCCTTTGGGCTCTCCACTGTCTTGCCCCTGCGCTTCGATCTTGTGAACTACATCCATGCCAGACAATACCTTACCGAACACGACGTGATGTCCGTCCAACCTTTTTCCAGAAACAAGAAAAACGGTCAACGATCTCTTTATCACAATATCGAAAACAGAAATCAAGATTACAAGATTCTGGAGACGGGCAAATAAATCAAATAGCCTACTTACCAACTCGTGGTGACGGTTGTGATGAAGAACTGTGAACCGTTGGAATCTGGTCCCGAGTTTGCCATTGATAATACTCCTGAAATCCATTTGCAGACTCAACACCGTAAGTACTTTATAAAAAATTATGTATTTGAGTTCATTGGCCTTAGAGGTGGTGGCTTTAGCGTACCTGGTCCAGTGTGTTTGAGTTTGAAGTTCTCATCAGCAAATTTAACGCCATAGATCGACTCTCCACCTCGTCCATCTCCTCGTGTAAAATCTCCACCCTGAATCATGAAGCTAGGAATGATCCTATGGAAGCTGCTTCCTTTGAAATAAAGAGGTTTCCCCATTTCCCCAACTCCTTTTTCTCCTGCAACCAAAGTAGGATAAACATCAAACCCAAAGAGTCTCTTCTCTCAGAAGAGGGCATGGCTCAAAAAACCTTAAAGACCATGAGTTCTAAAGGGGAAACAAAGGTTACTTGGCTACCCGTACAAAGTGCTCGAAAGTTCTCTGCAAAGAAGGAAAGCATGGATTCGCGGTAAGGAAAGCGGCAAAAAAACACAAAGTGAGACAATTTGAAGATTTTTCATCACTCTTAACTTGAAACTGTACCTGCAGTTTTAGGAACAGTCTTCCCAAACAGCCCGATGAGAATCCGCCCTATACATAGGAAAATTATATGCAAATTTTACTCTATGTTGCATGAGCTGTACAAAAGTTCAGAGCTTCAAAAAAACATTTACAGTACAGCTTAGAGACAACCAGAGTATTTGGGAAAAGGAAAAAGAGCATTTTCTAATTCAAAGACTTAACGTTTTGTAAACCTCACGAACCATCCGCTAATGTGTTGAGGCAAATCCTGAATTGGAAGCATCCCAAATCAAACTATTCGATCCACTAAACAATCAATTAAGTCTTAAATTTCACTCATCACAATCAGAATTTTTGAGTTCAAATTCTAAATCAAATAGGCAAAGGAGGAAACTTTTAAACCTGCTGGTGAACCATTGATCTGAATGTCAAAGTAAACTTTGTGCGTGACTTCCTCTAAATCCTCTCCCACCTGAAAAATCTCAGAAAATTTCCGACCCTAATTACAAAGTCTGATCACACCTTTACAAACCAAAAATGCGATGACTTCAATCAAAGCTCACCTGATCAGCAATCTTCTCATTGACCGTAGGATCCGCAACATCAGTCAACTTAACCTGAGAAGAGAAATTTGCAAAATTGAAGCCACAAACCTAAGCAATGTCGCAGACCCAGATCGAAGAAGTAACAGAAAATGAGGAATACGGATTCAAAAAGTAACCTGAATGAGAGCAAGTGTGACGAAGAGGACGACAATCCATAAGAGAGTGAGAGAGACCAATCTAGTCGCCGTAATCGCCATTACTCCGTCGTCTTCGTTCGATTTCTTCAAAATCAGTCTTTGTTCCCTCAAATTTACCGCGTAGGAGTATTAAGTATTAACCACGGTGACTTGACAAAAAGAAAAACTACTGTTTACAGTTTACATTTACAGTAACAAAGTAGCTGAAATATTGAAAATGTACCCTCAAATTATTAAATGTTTTCAATATGACCCTTACTTATATAGATATAGTTTTTTTTTGTCCAACCTATAAATATAGTTTACACTTTTGCAAGTTAGCACCAAAAATCGACGTGAACAAGACTACTTGTGATTTCGACAAATAACTATTTTATACTCAAAAATAGATTCATTGTTTTATATTTTCTTATCATTTGTGTACTAGTTTCTTCAAATAATAATATACTTTGCTAAATCACACTACTGTTTCGAATTCAATTTTTTTTCTCGACTTTACAATGTAGGCATCGAATTGGATTCCACTTCCTAGCTGGTTAGAGCAAGAAACGAACTTATCTAATCATTAATTAGTTTAAGTATTAAAAAGGTCAAAAACACTTAATCTAATTATTAAGTTGTTAAAAAACATCTGCCGACAAAGGAATTTATCTAAAATTCCACGTGGACCAATAATGCAAATCACTTCCTTACATCCCAAGTTTTATGGAAAGTGACTTTTGCGATCAAACGGCCAACGATAACTAAACATTCAGATTTGACCACAAAAATCCCTAAAGGAGAAATAAAAACAGTGAAGAGAGATCAATTTTTTCCCATTCTCTTCTTCTTCTTCTTCCTCAATCATTTCACTTGAGGATCGTTCCAATGTCGAAGCAAACATACAAAGTCTGTTTCTGCTTTCGTCG